GTGTGCGTTTACATGGAACATAGGTCGGAATTAGGACCCCTCCCGTTAGATTTCTCGCGCTGAGTTTGACGGAGGTGTTCGAAAGAGAACAGGGGATTCGATGCTTTCGATCTGGAACGGTCTATTAGTTTGAGCCCTTTAAAATGCTTTTATTTACGTTACGTTTATTTACAGTTCTAAGTAGAACACTGTTTCTACATGTTCCGACAGCAGAAGGCGTTGGAAAAATCTAATGTTGCATTGGGGAATAGACTATTAGTACACTTCACTTTTGGATAGGGGTGATTTAGAAACAGTCCATTTGGGCGGAAGGGGGAAAGGTCAATTTTTTTGTACAAAGGAAAGTGGTGTAGCCATTTGCTGTATTTGCTCCCGAGCAAATGTAGGCCTTTCTAGTTTTAAATTACTTTTACATTTACTTTAGCAAGATAAGACGAAATAAGGTCATTGTGACTCTTCCGTTACGATTAGACTTCCCTTAACTGCGCGGGCAAAACAAATTTAATTGTTTTAGCCGGCGTTGTTTGTATGATGGAAAATAACTTCAGGATATCTTTCCTGTTGCTCCTGTTGCTTAATTTACCTTGTAGTTTACAAGAAATTTCATATATCAATGTTGTATCAAAGCCTTTATCAATCTTTAAAAAAATGTATTCGAACACATGATTGACAATACGTTTTTCTTGAATTTCACTTACTTTCCCTGTCACCGTACTTTAGTGGATATTGTCAGCACAGCATAGGCAATGAACTACACGCTGATTATATACTTAATTTATTACACTTTTCAATATGTACTTGCATGAGCAGCAACAACACAAGCCAGTCCCTCTGGAAATGTGACCTGTGGCAACCCTACTGTACTGAATGCAAACTTTGGCAGCTTCACGTCCCCGGGCTACCCAGGAAACTACCCAAACAACGCTAACTGTTCCTGGCAGATATCTGTCAATGCTGGTGAAGTTATCGCCTTCCGGTAAGGCATTAACTTTAGGTTTGCTTTTGGGAATTTTTGTTTGGACAGAAACTGAGTATATGGCAAGGTGGATGCTTGTACTTTCCACACGAGTCGTCTGGTCGCTCCGCAATGCTGATAACAAAATGCCTCCTTTCAAGTTGCACTACTGATTTTTTTATAGGTTTAGCCAATTCGACCTTCAGGACGGATTTTTTGGATTTCTATGTATCTCGGACTACCTAGCCATATACGACGGCTCCGATACAACAGCACCGCTTCTGGCCAGGCTATGTGGTACCTCCGGTACAACAACCTTCACAACAGGGAGGAACGCCTTCGTGGTCTTTAGAAGTGACGAGGTCGAGGCACGCACCGGGTTTTCCGTCAACTTCACTGCTGAAAGCAGACCTGGTAAGTTTTCTGACTACTGCCCAGCCTTTCATCTTTACGTTAATATTTATATTACTTATACACTCAATCCGACGTATGTGACAGGTAAGTTTTTTTTCAGAGTATATAGAAGCTAAGGTGGTCAGCTGAAACTCATTGTCCACTTTCTTACCATTTTTTCTTGAGCATTTTTACTAATTTGCTAGTCTTGAGTTTAATTTCGTTAGACACAGATACCGCAGCTAGCTGGTGGCTTTAACATGAAATCATTTTAGCATTAAAGGTTTTAGCCGGCGTTGTTAGTAAGATGGAAAATATCTTCAGGTTATCTTTCCTGTTGCTTAATTTACTTTCTAGTTTACAAGAAATTTCATATATCAATTTTGTATCAAAGCCTTAATCCTAAAAAAAGGTATTCGAACACATGATTGACAATACGTTTTTCTTGAATTTTACTTACTTTCCCTGTCACCGTACTTTCGTGGATATTGTCAGCACAGCATAGGCAATGAACTACACGCTGATTATATACTTTATTTATTAGACTATTCAATATGTACTTGCATGAGCAGCAACAACACCAGCAACAACACAAGCCAGTCCCTCTGGAAATGTGACTACGCCACCGGGTGTGTTCTGTGGCAACCCTACTGTACTGAATGCAACCATTGGCAGCTTCACGTCACCGGGCTACCCAGGAAACTATCCAAACAACGCTAACTGTTCCTGGCAGATATCTGTCAATACTGGTGAAGTTATCGCCTTCCGGTAAGATATTATCTTCGCTTTTGGTTGCATTCCTTTGAACAGAAACTGAATATATGGCATGTTCTATTGC